TTCAATCTGCTTTACTTTACAGATTTCTCATCTTATTTAATATTCTTCAAAGTCATGGTTTTCACGAGTTATATAGTGTCCCATGTACATCTATATTTAACCATAACACTATTGCTGGACATTGAAGTTGTTTTCAGGTTTTAGCTATTCTAAAGAATGCTGCATCAATCCTGAGAAAAAGAACAAAGCTGGAGGTATCACACTTACTGACCTCAAACTACACTACAAAGCTACCATCATCAAAACATTATGGTATTGTCAGAAAAACTAACACAGAGACCAATGGAACAGAATTGAAAGCTCAGAAATAAACCCACACATATATAGGCTACTAATTTTTGACAAAGGAACCAAAAACATACCATGGAGAAAGGAAAGTGCCTTCAATAAATGGCGTTAGGAAAACCGGAAAGCTTCATGCAGAGGAATGAAACTGGACTGCTATTTGACAGCATACACAAAAATGAATTCAAAATGGATTAAAGACTTGAATATAAGACCTGAAACAAAGGTACATAGCAGAAAACATAGACAGTAAACGTATGGACCTTGGTCTCAGAGAGGTATTTGATGCCAAAGGCAAGGGAAGTAAAGCAAAACTAAAAGAATGGGACATCAAATTAAAAGTTTCCACACTGCAAAAGAATCCATTAACAAAACAAAAAGACAATCAATCAAATGGAAGATGATATTTTCCCCGGGTAAGGGGCTAAGATCCAAAATACATAAAGAACTCATACAATTCAACAACAAAAAACCCAAACAATCCAATTAAAAGTGGGCATAAGACCTGAAGAGACATTTTTCCAGGGAAGAATACAGGTGGTCAACAAATGTATGAAAAGATGCTCAACATCACTAGTTATAAGGGAAATGCAAATCAAAACCATAATGAAATATCATTTCATATCTGTTAGAATAGCTATTATTAATAAGACAAGAAAATAAGTGTTGAAGAGGATATGGAGAAAAGGGAACCCCAGTATACTGCTTATTAGAATGTAAATTGATGTAGCCACTGTGAAAAACAGCATGGACTTTCCTCAAAAAAATTAAGAATAGAGCTACCATATGACCCAGCAATTCCTCTTCTGGGTATCTACCCAAGAAAATTGAAAACACTTATTTGTAAAGATATGTGTACCCCTATGCTCATTGCAGCATTATTTTCAATAGCCAAGACATAGAAACAACCTAAGCATCTTTGATGAATGATTTGATAAAGAAGACATGACACACATATACAATGGAATACTATTCAGCCATTAAAAAGATAAAATATTGTCATTTGCAAGATGGATGGATCTTGAGAGTATTCTGCTAAGTAAAATAAATCAGAAAAGGACAAGAATCATATGATTTCACTCATATGTGGGATATAAAACAAAAAGTAACAAATGAAAAATTTGGCCCCCCCCACAAAAAAAAACAAACAAGACTTGTAGAAAGAGATGACAGAATCTTGGTTACAAGAAGGGAAGAGGGTGGAGGGAACACCAAGGGGGTAAAGGGAGCCAAATATATGTTGATGAAGGGAGACTAGACTTCAGATGGTGAGCACACAGGGCACAGAGATGTTGTATTATGAAGTTGTACATGTGAAATTTATAAAATGTTATTAACTAATGTTACCCCAATAAGTTTAATTTTAAAAAAATTAATTTAAAAAAGGTTTCTGCATGAAATATCTGTGTACAGTAGTACTCCCTCATCTCCAGTTTTGCTTTCTGAATTTTCAGTTACTCAGGTCAACTGAGGTCTGAAAATATTAAGTGGAAGAGTCTGGAAATAAATAATTCATAAGTTTGAAATTCAGGGCTGTCCTGAATAGTGTGATGAAATATCATGGAGTCCCATTCAGTCCCACCCTGGATGTGAGTAATTCCTTGGTCCAGCACGTGCGCGCTGTGGACGCTCCACCCTGTGGTCACTTAGCATCCATCCTGGCAGTGCTTTTGGTCCGGTCGCCCTTCTTTTACTTCATAATGGCCCCAAAGCCATTCACATAACTTTTTTTACAGTATATTATTATAATTATTCTATTTTATTAATAGCTCTTGTTGTTAATCTCTAACTGTGCCTAATTTATAAATTAAACTTTATTATAGGCAGTAATGTATAGGAAAAAACATTGTGTATATTGGGTTTAGTACTATCTGTGGTTTCGGCATCCATTGGCGGTCTTGGAACATATCCCCTATGGATGGGGGGAATCTATTCTATATGAATCTTTGTAACTGTCTTTGATTCCTTTTTTAAGATGGATTCCTAGGAATTGATATACCCTAGTTAAAGAAAACACATTAGGATCCTGGTCCATATCACCAAGTTTGCCTCATCCAAAGGTTGTATAAATTATATTTCTATTAATACTGATCAAGGTTGTCCATCACATCTCACACTTGCCAGTGTTCTGATGTGTTATTTAACTTTTTGTTTGTTTTATCTGGTATCTTTCAAACAGATTATTATCTCCTTAAGCAGGTACTGTGGGCATCTGCATGTTTATATCCACCACAGAATTTTGCTTGGTGTCACTCATATAATAACCCTTATAAATATTTGCTAAATGAATGGCTTTCTATTCATTATTATCCCTTTGGAGTTAAGAATTGGAGAAAGTACTTGCACAATGACTTTCAAATTGGTTGAGAGAGGTGTATATACTTGCTCATGTTCAAGGGATTTGGACAAGGGAATGAGTCCAAGAGAGAAAAATGAGGTGTTTTTTAGGGTGAGCTCTGTCTGCAGCATGTTTGAGACTGACTTTCTGCACTACTATCCATTTTCCCTTCGTAACTGGGTGTGGAGAGGGGTGGGATCTGTTTTCACAACTCAACCATGTAGCAGAATGAGTGGAATTTTCCAGATGGTTACTCTTGATGGCTGTTGGCATAATTACAGCTTTGCCTTCTGGGAGCCGTCAGGCCGCAGCCCCTGAAGCCTAGACGGCCGTTTCAGCAGGTCACACTGTGGGATCTGTGCGTTCTTGCGGGCATGGAGAGCCACGTAGGGTTTCAAACCATAAATACCATTTTTATTTATTTGTACTATCTCTCTGCCAAATGCTTTCAGCAGGGGCTAAAGTGAGGAAGGTGTATTACTCTCCCCACCCCCTCCCAGCCTTCACACACACACACACACACACACACACACACACACACACACACACGCCTCAAATGATGTGTGACCAGATGATTCCCTGGCATTGGGCACCTTTCTAAATGCCAGAGTCTGGAGTCATCTTCTGGGAATAACACATTGCTTTAGAATTTCTTCTAATCTGCACACCCACTGTGAGGGTGAATTGACGCTTCTCCTCCCCTGCCTCCAGAGCCCTCTCTGGGGCAGTGCTTTTTGTTTTCAGGTAAAGAGGCTTGGAGTGTGAAAGCTTGTTATGGATCTGGGGGCATGTGAGCCCCCGATATCTCCGTGTTACAATGACCCCTGCCCATGTAAGTTGAATGCCACTTTTATCATGCCCAGTGAACACAGCTGTCCCAGCAGGCAGATGGCGTCAACCGAAGGGGTGCGTCTGGGCTGATCCACATGCTCATGGACAGAGGTGGTTTGCCTTATTGCGATGGGCCAGTTTGCTGCCTATTCCCCGTAGCTGTCAGAGGTTATCTTTTACAGCCTCCTTCCTTAGAGATCAGTGTCTCTAACCCTCAAGTTGGAAGGCTTCTCTTAGAACCAGCCATCATCACTGTGGCAGATAGGGTGGATCAGCATGCCAACTCTTAGTGTGCAGAAGTTGGAAAAATGTAAAACTTTATTTCCCAGACTCCCTTGCAGTTAGGGTTTTGATATAACTGGATTCTACCAATTAGATTCACTTTTTTGTGACTTGGATGTGGGAGCCAAATCTTGTGTGGAAAGAGGCAGGGAAATGGGTATCTGTACTCGCTGGCATGGACTGTGCCGTGGGCTGTATGGTTCTGGAGTGGCCAGCTATAGCAATGGTTTCCCAGTTTCCTGAGCCAAGCAGCTCCCTTGACAGCCCAGTGGCATGGATTTGGGGGTCAATCCCTCCTTCCTTTAGTGTCTTGTAATAAATACCTCTCCTTTATGAACTTGCTAACCCCACAGGCTGCAAAGCTAGTTGTTTTACCTTGTTCATTTGATGGTTGAGACAAAATTAAATGGTTGGAATTTTACCTTTGATCTTAATTTTATTGGATTTATTTTCCCCAAAGCTAGTTTTGGACTATCCTGTTCCCTTTTATGTTTTTCCTTGTGATGATCGATGACCTTATGTTGGATTTTCCCCAGAATTATGTTGATACGTCCAAACATGAAAATAGATGTTTCCATCTTCATTAACCTATTTAAACAATTTCATGTGCTAATTCATACATCCTCTCTCTATAAAGAGCATTGTATTATTAATAGGCACATAATGCATATTTGCTAAAGCTTGTAAACAGGCACAGAAAAGGCTGGGGGAAGTTTGCTATTTATCAAGACATCAGCCCTAGCACTTCAACAAAAAGCACTACCCAGGATGCAAGTCATGCTCGTGTTTCCTGGCATTTCATAATTCAATGTTATTGTGATAGTTATTGAGGTATCACACTAGACTCTTTGTTTTTTCAGTTGCCTTATGGACTCGTTTTTACCCTAGAGTTTGCTGAAACTTTGCTCTGAAAAATAGATTCAGACATCTCAGGCGTGTAAAGCGCTGGTTGGACAGGCACTGATTTAACTGCGCAAGACTCTGCTCAGTAATTATAAAATTAGAATATATTCTCGAGTGCCTTCTCTTCATCTTTGGAGTATTGGTCCTTTGGCTAGACATAGCTTTAAGGGCAGATCACTTAGAGAAGTCAGACTCCGAGCCCCGGTGGAGAGTGTGCTCCCATTTTGTTGGTTCTGTGGCAAGAGCTTTGCCTTGCGCTGGCTGCCTAAGGGCATTCAGGCCTTGTTCCGTTCTGTGTTGTTTGAAATGAAGCAGGGTAGTAGGCATTTCTGAAGAAGTAACAAACATTTTCCGTCTCAAATTACGAACTAAAAAAGAAATGTGTTTATTGAGGGCAAGAGGATGCAAGCAATATAAAAATCAAAAGCTTATCTGGCTTTAATTGGCTTTTCTTTCTCTTGTCAAACGGGTGGGATTTTATTTGTACATTTTCTAAGGGACCCAATCTGCTCATGAAATCGTTATACAGGGGGAGGCTGTGGGGCAGAGATTCCTTAAGTGACCCTTGGGAGAACTCTTTATCAGGGGTGAAGTAGCAGCTCAGCTGCCTACTTCTTTCCCTTCTGCTTCATGTGTACTACAAAATAGTCATTGCACGCGATGGTGAGCCCCGCAATAAGCGAAAAGAAGCTCTGGAAGCCCACTCGGCCATCTCGGCATTGGTCCAGGTCTTTCATTATTTTGTCTACGGCCAGAGGGTCTTTTTGATTCTGAAAAAAAAGAACAAAGGCAAGAAATATCAGTAAGTGGTCTCGATGACTAGCTTCTTTGATTTGTACTGCTGGTAACCATGTATATAATCTCTTAATTATCTGAATTCTTGTTTCAGGTTGTAAGTGATCTTTGGAGGTCATCTAAATGGATTTTGTTGCCCTGAAGGGAACATTTTAGTAAATTGATACTTATTTTAAACTAGGAAAGAGGTTTCCATGGCATTTTTTTCATCTAATTATAGGGACCTCAGAAATGGCCTATTCTGTGCTGGAGAAGGTACACCCAGGCCCCTAATTCTCAATCTACTGCTCTTGCCAATTGGAACAAACACGGCCTTCTGACCTGCTCTGCTTCCAGTTTAACTCTTCCTACAGCTTTTAAAATCACAAGATGCTGCCTAAGAACCACTTGAAACTCCTCATTTACTAGTTTAAACTTACATTCTCTTAACAGGTTTTTACTCTTGATAGTCAAATCCTTTAAATGTGAAAGTCTTAGAAGGTTGTTTAGGGAGTAAGGTTCAGATCACTGTCCTGTGGATTTTAAGAGACACTAATGATGTCACGGGGTGTGTTAGGTTTGGGGAGGATTGGTAGGTTGCCCTCATTTCTCTTCATTTCTTGGCATGGGTGGGGGCCAGCTAGCGTGGCTTCATTTCATATTAGCTATGTAACCATGAGTAAGTCACACTTCGTGAGCCTTCATGTATCAACTGTGAATGGAAGAGGCTGGATTAGAAAGGCTCTAGTGTCACTTCCATTCTTAATGAAGTGGTAAATCTATGCCATCCTATACTCTTTGCTGGATTCTTTCAAAAGGGATATGCGTGATGGAGTCATAAACTCCCCATGACTCTCAATGTCTGCTATGAATGCATGGAACCAAGATAGACAGGGATGATCCTTTTTGGCTTTTTCTTTCCTCTTGCCTCTATGGTGACTGGCCTGATCAGTCCTTTTTGTAGTGATGATGGTTGGATGTGGGAAAGCGTGGTCTCTCCCGTCAGACAGAGAGGGAAATCTGGCCTTTCAGAGGTGTAAAAGGGCTCAGGTGAAGTATTTGTGAATTCCATTGATTATATAGATGAGAAGATACTGACACCCAGTGTCTCAAGCGTGCTGGATGTTTACGAATTGCACTAAAAAATCCCTTAAGATAAAGCAGCAGGATTTCCTATACAAGGACTGAAAACTTCTACCCTAAGCAAACAACTAAAACTTGCTCTATGTAGCCACCTCTGTCTTTGGTGGGTTTCAGTTAATTCTGACCTCACCCCCAGCTTCCTGGCTGTGGTCAGAAGGAGTAAAATTTGGATGACAGAAGGAGTCAACTTTAGAAACAAAATGCTCCGTTAATGCAACAAGAGTGGGTGTGCCTGGAATTATGACCCCACGCCTGGAATAAATTACACTGCTGTGTTCAGTGCTCTGTGCATACACCCCTTATGTTTCTCATGCCAGAAAGCCTTTAGGGAGGAAGGGTCTGTATCTCATGTGATATTCACCCCAGATTCTAACTTATGCAACAACATGACTAATCAGTATTTAGTGTACTGAGAATGCCTTTGTTCATGTGATAGGCAGGCTTACAATAAACTTATTTTGTCCTTGCGTTTTATGGTTGCCTTGAAGAATCACAAAGTGAAAATGACCTTGGAGATAATTATATCCAGTCCTCTCATTTTACAGAGGAGAGAACTGAGGCCCTACAATCTAAGAAAACCTGCCCAGTGTTAACTAACTCCAGGTCTGGGGCCATATCATAGAACTGTACAAAAACAGTGTAACAGTATATTCTAACTCACTCTGGGATAACACTATAGTAACTGCAGCTCTGAGAGACCAGTGAGGCTATTCTGTTTATTTAACTGGTATCGACACGTGAATCATAGAGTACTACAAAACCCTGTGCTTACTGAGTCATGAGTCAGAGGCTGGACTAACGTGGCACTGCCCAAGCAGATGACGGAGGCAGGACCCAGCCGTTTACCATCATCTCCCTGCACCCTGTAGAGGCTAATGCATTATTCTGTACCTTGTACAGTAGCGATCCTTTCAAGTGACTCCAGTGGTGACAGGGAAAGAAGGACTTGCGTTTCCATCTAATATTTTGTCAAGCAATGCTTCACCTTCAGGGAAATGCCAACAACCATCTCCTGAAGGCCTAGGGCGTGAAAGGACAACTGCGCCTCGCAGCTTAATGCCCTGAGTGATGTATTTGAGCTGATGGCAGAGTCCTCTTCCAGTCTTCACAATCCCTCAGTTTGATAAAAGCTGAGGCATAAACTCAAGTGTGGCTGCTATGTTCTCAAAGCATTTTCAACATGAAAAGCAATTATTTCTGGAGCAACGGTCGGCTCTCATTTGGCAGGTGTTTGATACCATTTCTTTAGAGTCGAAAAAAATTTTAAAAAGCCTTTATCTGAAGAGATTTAGGAAGAGAGATTCAAGTTGCTCAAAGTGAGTGTGACCTGAATGTGGCACCTCTAGTGCCAGGTTTATGGACCCAAGGGCAACCAGGCAGCTTTGTTGGTGACTCTTGTGAAAGGCCTTTCCTGCAACTCAGTGTCAAGGGGTGTAGATGATTCCAGATGGACTCTAACAAACACTTCGTAATATAGTTATTTGTGTGTTGTCTTATTTCACCTCCCAATTGCAAGCTCCTTGAGGGCAGGGGCTGTGTCTTTGTTACCTTCTGTTTCCTCTATAGTATCTTAAGAACAGTAGATACTCAATAATGTTTAATAAATAAATGAATGAAAACGCCTTTCTAGTAGTGACATTGACAAGGAAGGGATGAAAAGAAGGGAAAGGAACCAGGGCCAAGAAGCATTGACTATCATGTCTGAGTCTTTCTGAGCCTTTCAAGACTTACTTCCAAAAATCCAGGGAACTCCTTTTCCATGAGTACTCTCAGGTCCTCCTTTGTTAAGTAGCCTTTATCCCCAGCAAATTTGTGAAATGTGAACATCATGGTTTCCATGGCGTGTTCCATTTGAGATGGCATTTTGGTGAGGTCTGTTGAAACATCAAATTAAAGGATATAAAGAAACAAAATTTACATTACCTTTTAAGCTACATGTTTTGCCAGTCTTTTGAGAATAATTGGAAGGAGGGTCATTAGCTCATTCGATTCTTTCCAGCTGCAAAATTCAATGATTTGAAGAACCAATTTGCCCCTGGTTTTGGGCCTCCTGCTGATGGAAATAGGCACCAGAGGTATCAGTGCCCTGAATGAGAAATTATCTAGTTGTCTGCTAATTCCACATAAATCACCTAAAAAAAATAAATAAAACCTCTAATCATTTGGAAAATCGAGATCAGTATCTGTCTTTTTTAACTGACAAAGCACCTATTGAAAGAACATGTGTCTCATCATTTCTCTTGGCGTTGGTAAATGAGACTCTCAGATATGGTGGAACACCAACCACCCACACAGTCAAGCCTGGTGACTATGAAAATTTCAGCCTCCAAGCATAACTGGCTAACCTGGTTCAGTCTAATTCTAGGGTTTAGAAATCTGCTTACAAATAAATTTTGTCTGCTGGGTATGTGTTGTTTATTAAAGATTTGAACTTGCTAGTGATTGCAACAAAGACATTTATTTGTATCTTTCGTAGTAAAATACAGTTGTCCGACCTGGATAAAAGCTACCCCAAAGCTCATTATCTAGTTCCTTGAGATGGAAGAAATAACAGTATATCCTAACTCCTTTGGGGACCTGATGTATTTTGGACAGCAAGGATAGAAGAGTTCCTGCCACAGTCTGAGGTGCAGTGGGAGAGCAAGAGCTTTTTATCAGGAAGAGTTGAAAGGAGAGGAAACTTGTCAGAATACATACAGGTATAATGATCTGAGGGTGTATGTCTCATCAGGACCCAGTGCTTAGTAGTTGACAGAAGCTCAATGGATGTTGGCTTAATTGGAAGGAATGCTTTAGCCAGAATAGAGCAGCTTTGGCTAATATCACCTAAAATCACTCGTGGATAGGAAACAGGTGAATTTGAATGGAGACTGTAACATACCATTCCCTAAAACAACAACAACAAACAAAACACAGAAGTTTTTGAGCACAGGTTGAAGGAGAGGCTAGCACCTTCCCCTGCGAGAGAGTGCCAGCAGGAACCTGAGATACGCTCTCAGTCTGGCTTCTGCCGCTGACAGGTGCGTTTCCAACACAGATCCTTCAGTGCCATCTTTTACAGAGGAGACGGTGGAGTTGGTGAGCCTGAGGATTGGGCAATTACACTTCAGAATAGTAAACTCTGCCCCTTAATCCCCACAAAAGTACAGGAACCAGCATGCCAAAGAATGTGTTACTCTAGAGAGTGCTGTAAACCAGAATCAGACATGATTCATCTGGAAGGCAGTTCCCGGGGAGAGAGCAGCAAATTAATGCTCAAGGTCCACTGTGAGATGAACTCCAGGGGATGCAAACACACCCTTTCCCCGCTTCCTAAACTGTCAGGTCTGGCTCACCACCATCTCCCATGTGAGTTCAGATGGCAGTTGGCTTAGATGGAGTCAGTCTTGCCTAGATTAGTTCTGGAAGGCGAGCAGTTTAAGAGAACTCAACTGAGTGTCACCCATGGGAGAAGGGTGTGGGATCCCACCCCAGTTCTGAAATAACTCAGGATCGGTCTAAACAGAGGTTTAAAAATACCTGTGCCCAGGCTCTCAGAACAGCAGAGTACTTCACGACAAATTCCCAAGGACCCCAGAAATTACAACTGGCTGTGGGACACCTAGGTCACTTTCTCCACAGGGCGAAGCAGAAGGAAACTGCTCTGAGAAGTCAGAGTAAGGACTCCAAAAATAGGGAACCAGGGTAATTTAAGAACTTCTACGAAAAACAGGTTGTAAGCTGAGGAAATTTTGGCCACCCATGAACATCTTCTTCAGGAGAATGAGCCCAGTCTTCCCTTAGTCAGCGCCCAGGCCTCAGGCCACTCCAATCCCTCCCTGTCCTTGTCCATGTTCACCATGAAGTGACAGAGCTTTGCTCTCTGAAGCCACATCCCTGCCCCACTGGATCCCCCTTCCTCTCCTGTTTCATTCAGCAAACTGGTCATGAATACAGCAGCCAGCTGACTCTCTATGTGTCTTATATTTGCAATAAAAATGCAGAACAGGGGCTAACCAGGAGATGTAAGGTTGGGAAGATAAAAATAGCTTTGAAAACCAGATGAGATGCCCACTGTCTCCTCAGTAACCTGGGCCCCAGAGGGCACTGACCAGGACTACTAGCCAGTTAACTCTGTTTGGAAGGAGGAGCCAGCGCACTGGTTTTACAGTAAGATAAGGGGAGAATGTTATGGTTAATACTGTTCCCCTGGTAGTGGATGAATCATGTTGCTCTTCTCCAAGAGTGGCAGTTGCCCCACTGAGCCCGTGCTGCCAGCCCTCCCGTCTTGGGCAGGGCTGATCATAGCGCTGACAGTTGGTTGCTAAAGCAGCAGTTCAGGGACTTGAACCTGGGGCTTCCATCCCCCTACCTGCCCCACACGCTCCACACCAGAATGGGGGTGCGACTCTAGCTTCTAGTTTGGCTACACTTTTCACTGGAGGGCCTTGGGCCTGGGGCTGAGAGACAGCAGGGCCCTCTCTGTGCCCCAGACAACCCATTCCTGCACCTGAAACACTCAATCCATTTACGTATGTGTTCACCTGTCTGTCCCTCTACCTGGGAAGAGCTGTGCATTATTCTGTTCTATCCAAGAAACAATAATTAAATGTTTGCTAAATGACTGAATGAATGATTCAAACAAGCTTCTTGGCAGGTGTGGTCACCCAGGTCTGGGCTAAAAACCGGGTAGCTCAAGCTCAGCAGGACAGGGGAGCAGGGAAGGGCCAGAGAGGGGCCGCCTGTGAATGAACAGTGGAGCACAGAGGAGAGCACATTCCATGAGCAGAGGAAAAATATGTGTCCTGCTAAACAGGTCTGGTCAGAGCCTGATGTGACTTCTTTCTCTTCTCTGGCGTTTTTTCCCGTTTGGGGGATGGGGGGGTGTGGTGTGTGTGCGTGTGTGCGCGCGCGCCCTTTGGTCCGTCCCATTTTCTGCCTCAGGCTTCTCAGGCTCTGCTCTCTCACTGTGAGCTCCACAGGATATGTAAGCTCATTGTTTACTCATTTTTTAATTGACTTTTTAAATATTGATGTCTGTACATCTCCTGTTTTCCTGGGTAATAAACAGGTCTTAAGAGTGGAGGCTCAGAAGTCCACAGTCTTTCTCAGTGCAGTTTTCTCTACAGAAGAGAGTTTTGGACTCCACGAATGTAGCCACAGTGGTTATATTCTCAGATCTCCTGCCCTTTGCATGTCCTGGTCATGTGTCACAGACACTTCATAGTGCTTGTCTTTGGGAGTTCACCAGCTAATGGCATCATACTATTTAATAATATGTCATAGTATTGTGTTTGTTTCTTTCTCCACTAGATTGCGGGCTCCTTGAGCAGGGTACCCACAGTTAGGCCCTCCCCCATTAGAGCCTGCTTGAGAATCGGCTAAGAGTGAAATTGATAATAATGTCAATGTTGATCCTCTTAGGAGTAGCAGGGAAGCAGGAGGCCTCCTTACAAAAGTGCCTGCTCCTGAGCAATCTCAAATGTTTGCTCTGGAACCATGCCCAGATTTAGGCCATAATTTTAAAGAGGACCCTTCTAAAGAGCAAGAAGTTTGATTTACGTTGCTCATCCATACCGTAGTTTTCTACAGCCCACCCAGAAAATAATTGGCAGGGTGTCAGTAAAAACAAACATCTGTTATTAAAATGTGTTTGAGGTTTCCTTCCTTTTGCTTCAGAGATTTTGAAGACAAAAAAAAAATTTTTTTTTTTTGAAAATTAAACCCAGAAGGCATTCTTGAACTTAATCTCCAAAGGAAATTAAGAAAAAAATGGTTTGAGGCAATGGATCTGGATCCAGGCTGTCTCTCCTACCTTTCACCAAACATAAAAAAAGTGGGCAACCAAGGAAAAGCCCCAAGTGCAATTCAGCAGGAAGAAAAAATGCAGAAGCCTTCTCTACCCTAACAGTGTACATCTACCCTCCCTTGAAGAATTATGAGGCATCAGCCTGAATTAGCAAACAATAGCCATTGTGACAACTGTTATTAAATTCCTTGGCGGGCTGGGTGGTAGTTATTTAGTGAAGGGCTAGGAAGTATATTGTTAAAAATAAGTAAATTAATTTTCTTTGCTTTTGATGTGATATTCCTAAATTGTTGAGTCCCCAGGAATAATCCTAAAACTTCCTTCAGTTCAACTTTCCCAGCACTCTTGAGTGCTAATTTATACATTATAACCCTGAAAGGATTCCACTGTTTTCCCCAACTTTAAAAGACTGGGCTGTAGCCAAGGGCATACCAAGTGGGTAGTGGTCTAAAAAAGTCACATTTTTGGAACTGTCAGTGGAAAGCAGAGAGGCACCCAGTCTCAGCTCCACCCAGGCCGAGGCCCGATTTCACTGGGGCTGCTGCTTGAGAGGCTGGCTGGAAGCCAGACACAGGAGGAAAAGGGCCCATCTGATGTGGTACGCAGGAAACATCAGGGAAGAGCACCCGTCACCTAGAAGTCAGGGGACTTTGTGCCCAGTGGACTCTAATAAAATGTGAGAAACTGAAATAAGAAACTCCAAACAGTGTATCAAGCACCACGATGAAGGTAGCTTTAGGCTCTCAAGGAAGGTATCTAGTGTTTAGAAGAGATGACTAAATAGAAACTGGACAGGAACCTGCAGGGGCAGGGCTGAGGAGGAAATTTCAAATGAGTTATATGAACTCATTCCTCACATTATCTTTTGCAATTTGCTGAAATATGTTGGAGGCAAAGATCACTGATAGGGTGTTTCCTGAGCCAGGCCTCACCTGACGCTCGGGATATAAAAATCCACCGCTGCAGGTTGAAACTCAAGCTGCACGGGGGCATGGGGCAGGGATCTGCAGCAACTGCAAACCTCTTAACGGGAAAAGCTGCCTTCCCAGCAAGCTGAGGCAGCCTGCCAGCAGGCGTGAGGCAGATAAGCCAGCAGGAGTCTCAAGATGGCCTTGCCAGCCTAATTGCCGCCTTCACCCACAGTCAGTCAAGACACCTTCTCTCCTGAAGATTGCTGGCCAGTCCTAGAGTGACTCACTTCCTCTTGGAAAATGTCCTCTAAGATGGCACAGTTCCCCTTCTCCTTCAGGGAGTGTTCAGTCTAAACCACCTGCAGAGAGTAGCCAGACCATCAGGGCCACACCCACATGGTCTCACAGCTGAGTCACAGCCCTCCACTAGGAGAATCCCAGAGCCCTTTGTGCTAACCACGCCCTGCAGAATGCTCCCAGCTCCCCACGGAGGGGAGGGGGGTGGGTGGGCTTAATGTATTCCAGAGTCTGGGCTAAAGCAGTACAGGGGCTGGCCCCTAGCCCTCTGCATTCCTCACCACCTCCAGCCAACAAGGCAGACAAGGCCCTTTCAGATAGGTGGGGCCCAGCTGAGGCTGGAGAGTGCAGTATCAGGGCTAGAGGAAGGGCCATTCCTTTGGCCAAACTCTAGTGAGACCAGGTGCCCAACACATCTCTCTCTCTCATTGCACTGGGCCAGACTGATCTGGGTTGGAAGGTCCTTCATCAAGCTTGTTCTTCCCCTATTTCTTTTTAGTTCCACTTGTTTAATTACAGTACCAAGAGGGGAACTCTTTCAGTAGATAAATCACTTAATATAATAGTTCCCCCTCCCCCACCTCCCTGCAAAACTGCTTTATAAAGAAATCAAACAGACCTCCCTCCCTCAGAGGTAAGAACCTTCTGGTCCAGCAGACAAACAACAGGAAACCCAACCTGAAGCATCTGGGCCAGGAACTGAGTGTCCTTTAGGAAGGGTATCCGCCAGCTGCCAAGGCGCCCAGCCCTCCCCGGCAGACCCCGACCCTACCCAAGCCCGCTCTGGCTGTCCAGCTGGGAGGAGGCTACGAACAGCTGGACAGAGGTCAGCATGCGGCTGAAGCCCACAAAGAAACAGGCCGTCAGGACAGGGGGCCAGACGCTGGGGTTCCGGTAACTGGGGAGACTAATTGAAAAGTAGGCAAGTGGAAATAAACAGAAAGGGAGGAGAGATCCGACCCTGGGGCACCAACACCTAAGTCTTGTAATAAGGGACAAGGGACCACTCTTCTGGTCCACGAGGACCTGGGGAGGGGTCGCGCCAGGACGCTGCTAGCCCCACTGGGTGTGGTCTGAGCGCGGATACTCCCCCACCCCCGGTGCTTGGACGCCCTCCGAAGCCTGGCCGGTGGGCCAGAGCAGCCGATGAGGGGCTTTCCCTGGCTCCGGTTTGGGGTAGGGGGCAGCCGGGAACGACGGGCGGAACTCACCTTAGCCGGAGGCGCGGCAGGATCGCTAGGCTGGCTGGGACGTGTGGCCAGTGAGCGGAGCTCTGAGGACTGTGCGCCTTGGTGGGGGGGAGGAGGGGCGGGAGGAGCCTGGGCGGGTGTCGGGCCTCAGCTCACCCCACCCCTTCTCCTCCCGCCTCTTCCTGCCCTCCCCAACCCACCCCACCCCCTGCAGGCGCCACTCACACCCTCCTCGCAATGAGGGCGCGGAGGGACCTCACTCCTGCGCTCCACTGGATCTCCCAGTGACATGATTATTGTAAACTTCTCGTCCTACACGAATACTCGTGAACATTTAAGGACACCCCCACCCTCGGCCGTGCCTTTCCTCTCGGGTTTGGTTTTAGAGAGTGAGTGAGTGAGGAAATCAAAGAATCCAGCGGTTCTGCGGGTGGGGCACGCTGGCCCAGAACCAGAAGTGAGCGGCTCTTGGGTAACCTACAGGTCTAGGAATTATTTTCTAGATGACATGGCAGGGAGGGGCACGTGGAGCCCCAAGAGCCAGGCCCTAGAAAGTCCTTCCCTAGCGTCTTAGCTCCTGCGCCCCGCTGCTCCGTGAGCAGTTTGGGGAGCCGAGTTTATCCCTCACCCCGCTCCAGGCTGCTTCGCTTCACTGGGGTGGGTGGGTAGGGAGGGTGCTCTGGGGCTCGTCAGCTCCACAGGACTTTGTTAAAAGGGACTTATTCCTTTTAGTCTATGTGGCTTCACTGGGTCCGTAGTTCAGCTACAGTTGTAGTTGATACTGTTAAAACCTACCTTTCAAAGCCTCCTTTTTGTCCTGCAATTGGCCTATTGGGTCCTCAACGGCCTTTAGAAGAAATTTCTTCCAGAAATTTAGAGGAAGAACAAAGTGTTTCCTAGCGGGTAAGTATACCTCCATTTATTTTAATTGTGGTTTAGGGTTAAATGCAAACTACTAGCAGCTGTTTGTGGAAAAGGGCCCAGTCTCAAGTCTTGGGTTTTCCTTTGTTCCCTAGGAACGTCCTGGGAGGCATGAGTGATCCTAAAGGAATGAGCAGACTCAGGGAATCCTTGAGCGCTGCTATGCGACTAACCTTGGCTCTTGCCAGGAAAACCCCACTTGGATTACTGCTCTCATTCCTGCCGGGTTCCTGCAACAGTGGTGCTGACTGTTCTGGGGATCAGTGCTTCAAAATCTTCCATATGCTTCCAAGTTCTTCCCAGGCCCCAGCCTACCATTGTGAGTGGAGAAAATCCTGGATTTCTTTAGTTTCAGGGAAGATACACTTGGATTTAGAATAAGAACACCCATACTCCTCATTTGACTTCTTCATTTGATTCACAAACCTTTTGAATGCTTAGTGTGTATGCTGGTTCCTGGGGGTTCAGAGATGAGTCCGTCTCTCTCCTCAAAGAGCTTCAAGTCTTGGTGAAACCTGAAAAGTCAGTGTTTGTGCTGCCTGTCACTACCAAAACCATTAAGTAGAAACAAGGATTGAATCCTTATGGGCACTTCATTCAGATGCTGGCGATCCGGGAAGAGAGCAGGTTTTATACCCTAAAAACCATTTTAACGTCCCATCTCAGGAAAAAGTGGGTAAGGGGTTTGGTATTCAGGGAATGATGTTAATCAGTTAGAAGCTGCAGTCCCTTGATTTCCCTAGCATCCTGTCATCTGCTGACCAGCAACCCTTTTTGTGTACATCTGCTGGATGTTCTCTCCCTGGAGCACAATGGCTCAGATACCATCTCGATTCCCTTGTGGTCCTCCTGGGTCACAAAGGTTGAATTGCTCGCAGGCCTCCTGGATCAGGGTAGGTCCAGTCATACATTCCAGTTCCTGAAACAATGGCTTTCTACATGCATTAATCAATAAACCTATTAACTATAACTAAAGCTAAAAGTGTTTAACTCTTGAGTTCCCCCATCATTGGAAGGTAGATAAACAATTAAAATCCATGAGTTCAGTGAATGGTAAAGAACACTATAGGAAACTGATAAGGCTGAGGAGGAGCCTCTAAATCCGCTTGGAGCGGTCACAGAACAATTTCCTGGAAAAGGCAAATTTGATAGATGGTTTAAAAATAACAATACCATTAATCATGACTTTTAAACCTGATTGTAAAAAGAGTTACATTCTTATTGTAGGTTTGGATAATATAGCAAAGTATAAGAAAGAACATAAAATTATTTGTAAATGCACGAACCAAAGGTAAATACTTTCATGTATGTCCTTATAGTCTTTTTATGCATATATAATATATAAATTTACATAATTTGGGGATTTAAGGGGATTTTTGAAACAAAATGACGACAGGAGACATTCTTGAATTTGATCCCTAAAGGGAATTCAGAAAAGTGTGTTGAAACAAAGGAACTGGATTGAGACTGTCTCTCTCACTTTCACCAAACATAAAACTTGCCCACTGAAAAAGTGAGCAACAAAGGAAAAGTTCCAGGTGCAACCCAACAGGAATGTTATGGGAGAGAACTGGCCTTGCCAAGCTGGAGGAGAAAGACAAGAGCAAGGGTGGCGAGGGCAGGGCTAGTCTCAGTTGATAGAGCACGTTGCTAGGAAATGAAGACTCTAGTGTTGGGGCAGGGTGGGAGGTGCTGATCTCTTTCACAGGGTGCTGTGGGGAAAATCTCAAAGAGTCCTCACGAACTTTCAGTGTTCATAGTATAAATGTCCCCTTGCCAATGTTGCTTCTCCACATGTTACCATAAGCCCCCTGTGGGATCCCTTAGCCGCTGGACTGCAGTCTGCTTATCAACAACAGATGAAGATAATAACATCTTGGCATGACTTGCTTCATTCTTATAGCAACACAACCTTTTTTGGTCTTTACCATAAACAAGTAGATTAAAACAACTTCACCTAAGCCATAAACAAGTGGATTTAAAACCATATTAAACCAGTACACAACAGCACTGGCAGGTCTATAAAGCTCCAAGTACCTGACATGCCTGTGATCTCTCTCCAGGAGAAGGGGTCCCAGGCAGTTGTTTCTCCAGAGAGTAGTTAGGCCTTGTAAATCACGTGCATACAGTGGAGCTAGCTCTGTTTCCTTGGTGACAGCTTATTGGACTAGGGACCTGTACCTGAGCCAGAGCTACCCTGGGAGGCTGGGGGGCTGGGATCCTGGAGCGGGGCATGACCTGGCAAACGCATACGGATTCTTAGTTTCTTCATGTGTATTACGTTGTGCCCTGCACCACACAGAAAATATGTGCAGTCTAGCTCAACCAGTCAGTCTGCCCAGGCTTTGTGCTAACGTGTGAATCACAGCTGTAGCAAAAGGTAGCTTTCTTCAACATTCAGGACCCCCAGCAGGGAGTCACAGTGGTCCTCCGTGGCACTTCAGTTGAGAGCCCCCAAGTTATAGTTGCCGGATAAGGCTTTGGCTGGCAAAACAAAACAAAAATCAAAGCAACACAGTCCCCAAGTGTGGCTTTACCTGTACACCCCAAATAGGAAAATATAGTTTATTAAACATTTTTATTACCATTTTTTAATGTTTAGGTTATTACCATTTTTTACTGTCACAGATAATAATCAGATTTAAAAAGATTACTTTTGAATAAACATCTTTGCCCACATGTTTATTTTCTTAGGATAGATTCCTGTTGGGAACTATCATTTTGTTTGTTTGTTCATGTGGATCTTAGAGGACAAGTGGGGGTGAGCCATATTCTGTAGGGCACAGGAGGGAAAAGTGTGTGCCAGAGCATGGAATTGTGGGGCAGCGTGTCTACTCAGGAATTGCCCCAGTTCTGCTTGCAGAGAGAGCAGAGTCCCTTGGGGTCTTGGAAGGGGATGAGCCTAAGAGGAGGTGCCTTTCCTGGGGCACCTGGATTCTCTGCCAAGGAGCTTGGAGCTCGTTTCTGAAGGTAACAAGGAGCCACTGAAGCATGTTAAAGAGGGGATGAGTGACTCTTTCACTTACCAGCTGTGTGGCTCCAGGCAGATCATCTCCCCACTGTGAACCTGAGTCTCTTTATGGATGAAATAGGGATAGATACCAACTTCTGGGGCAATGGGAAGAAGGAATCAGCTAACAACCATCAAGGTACCCTGCACGCACACTCCCAGCAGGCCGCAGGTTACAGATAGAGGATTCCGCCGCTGTGTGATCCCTCACTGCCAAAATCCTTGAGGAGGCACAGCAAGGTCTCTGGTGTGTGATTTGTGGGTAAGCACCTTTGAGCAGACTTCACTCTAGGGAACCAGAGGGCTCCATGGAGGCTAGGCTGGGCTGGCTAAATTACCGCTTGGAACTGCAGAAGTTGAAGGACTGCAGTCTTTTTCAGTTTTTTTTTAAAGCATTAGAACTCTTAGCTTGGGGTTGGAGACCACCTGCTTTCTTCTACAGGTGAGCTGCAAGCTGCAAATTCTAATGATTATAATCTATCAAATACTTATTGAGTGCCGACTATCACCCAGCATGTTCTGGTACTGTGCAAGTGAAGGCAGAAAAATAAAACCTGATGGGAAAAACAAGGGTCTCAATGAGAGAAGAATTGAAGGGAAAGAGGAAAAAGTCAAGGAAGACTACACAGAGGAGGGTATATTTAAACCCAGACTTAGAAGAAGAGGAGGAACTAGAGTTGCAAGGAAAGGAGGAGCTAGGAGGAAGCTTTCCTAGTGGAGGGGAAAGCGAGTGCTGGGAGGGGCCTGGTCTGAGAGGGGAATTGCAAAACCACCAGCAGGCCTGCGGCCGGTGAGCACAGGGGAAGGTGGCGTGAGGTGAGGCTGGACAGGCAGTACACTACATTACGTAGTGCCTAAGAGCACAGGCTTGGGAAAGGAGCCTGTTTTCTCTGCCGTGTCACCTAACCTTTCCAAACCTCAGTTGTCTCATCTGGAAAATGTACCTGCCTCGCAAGGATGTTGTGAATATAAATGAGAAAATGGATGTAAATACTTAGCAGAGTGCCTGGCACATAATGAGTGCCCCTCACTTTAAGTATAATAATTAATAAGTGGGGACTGGATTGGAGTCAGACAGGCCTGTGTTGAATCCTGGCTCTGCTGCATGATTGCTTTGCACCATGGGCAGGTAAGTCTCTGCTTCTTCTGTGTCCTCTCCCCTAAAGTGGGTTTCAA